TTGGTTTTACTTGGTTTAGCTGTGACAGCAATTTCTCTAATTCCTCTCTTGAACTATAACACTCCAGATGTCTGGGGCTAATTTGTTTTACCTTTGTTATCTTTCTGTGATACAACCATTGACAGCAGTTATGGCATGTAGAATGAGATGTTTACAACTCTAATATCATTATGCAGTGTGAAGAAATACAGGCTTGCTAAAGATAGCAGAGGCCTTGAGAAATGGAGACCCAGGACGCAACGTGGAGGAGTACAGGCATGTGATCACATGAGATGAGGCACTGGGTTGGTAATGAAGACCACAACAGCTATGAGCAACTTCCCAGGGGTCTGTTAAAGAAACGCAGACTTGGGCCTGGACGGAGTTGGTTCTAAGGGTAACAAACAGAACAAAGAAACTGTATCTCACATACACAAAAGGCACCACATAAGGTAATTTGGATGTAGCATGAAGCTGCAGACCAGTGAAGAAAGAGCAAAGGGAGAAGTGTGTAACCAAAGACACAGAAATGACCTCTCTGGGGTAAAGAAAAAGAAACCACCAATATGAGACTCATGTTGTTCCCAATGAAGGACTCCAGGTGCTGGGAAGCCACAGTAACATCTCCCCCACCAGACCCCAAGGTCTGCTGCCAGCCTGCAAACCCCAAGGCACAGCGCCATGGGCAGAACCGCAGGAATCAGGGAGGAACAAGGGAGTGCGTATAATAGTCTCAATGGCAATATTATTATTTCTTTTTTCTTTAACAATTATATCTGGACTAACAATAATCACACTCTTAAGATTTCAGTTACATGAAGACTAACTTATTGCCTTTATATACACAACCTGTGTTTCTTCTTTCCCCATAAACAAGATGTGAGTTTAACACTCTGCAGCCGTGCTGCTCAATGGCTCTTAAACCATTAATGCTATAGCATCATCAGTGCAATACTACTATTTCAGAAAGAGTAAATCATAAATGTATGAGGCCAGGGTCTGTGAACTCTGCAACTGCATGTTAACACAGAAGCACTTCAACCTTCTTTATCTCAAAGCTTATTGTACTTATTATAAGTCCAACCAGTTAAGTATAGAACTTAAAAATTGCTGTTATTTTGAGAACTTACCCACAGGAGGAGTGGTTTTGAACACTGAAATCAGTTTCCACCTTTCCCAAGTTGGAAATGCTTATATTGATATTTGTTCTTCATTTCTCTAACAGTCACTCGAGACATTGAATGAGAAAGCTGGTGCGGATACAGTACGGGCTGCACAGAGTCGAAATGCTTTCACACTGTTGCATCCCTCAATCTTAATTCTGGGGATTCATAGGTGGTCAATCACTGCAACTGAATATCACTTCATATTAAATCCACTATCTTTTGGTACAGATCTCAGGGTATGGGATTAGAACTGTACCTTTTCCCCTGTGTTTCCTCTTTCCTTACTTTAAGCAACTTCTCCAGGGCCTCATATTTCCCTAACAAAGATCACAGTTGAGACCTTGTACTTACTGCTTGCCTCCTTCAGTTGTGATTTCATTTCATTTCCTTCTCTTCCTGCTTTACTTTGGTACCAACACTAAATAATGCTTTCAGCCCTCCAACAGCCAGCTGAGGAATCCGTAAGCAGCCTGAAGATAAT